ACATTCAATTTTTGACTTGTATTTGGAGGCAGCTGCTTCTCCCCACTTCCCCTCCAGGCTTAACACAATAAGACTGGACAACAGGACAAACAGTATAGTTGGTAACAACGTTATTTGAGAATGGCTTTGTCCATTGTGCTGATCCCACAAATATTTTCCCCATGCAGAGATGATATTATGTTGGCTTAAATCCAGGCCTGCAAACTTCTTTCCTAGAGATTTTCCATATTTTAGCTTTAATTTACAAGTGTTTGTTCATTCCAGAGTTAGAAGGACATTAAGCCAAGGCTAAATCTCTCAGCTTTTTGTAAGTATGGACCTGATCCTTTAAGGCTCTGAGTGTCCATTGAAAAGTTTCAGTACCCAGCAGAAGAGTCTCAGCACCAGGCAGGACTCAGCCATGTAATTGGGTTTGGTAGGTAATTCTCGCACTGCATTGCCCTGAAAATCAGTATTGAAAGCTGATGAAGTTTTACAAAATTATCTAATCAAGTTGCTTAACACATCCCCTTTCCTGTGCATTGTCTTTTAAAGTGACGCTGGCAAATACTTCTCTTGAGAGAATTTGGGCATAATAAGGTTTGCTGGTGCAATGGGTTAATGCAGGCTAACTAGTTCTTCACTCTACAGATCCAAGGATAGAATCTCCCCTCAACAACAGTTCCTAAAAACCCTTAGACGAAACACCCCTTCACTCCCTTGCAGTGATTGCAAGGAAACCAAATCTGACTTCCTTGCAATCACAGAGAAATTCTCCCAGACAGTGGAGTGCCACGGCTGCCCCGGGCTTAGGAGATGGTGATGCTGCCCCCAACCACCACCACCACTACCACCTCCTTCACATCCCCTCCTCACCACCTCCACTACATACTACGGTGTATTTGTGCTTTGATTTGGTGCAGTTTGGGGTCTTCCTCCCTTCTCTGCTCACTGAAACTCAAAATGGTCATTCTTGGGCATCTGGGTCAAAATGCCAAATTGACTAGAATTGCCATTCATTTTTTAATGGAAAACTTCCACATTTTTCCTTCTAAAACAGTCAGAATTTTTTGTTTGACAGGAAATTTTCAAATCTCAGTGTTTTGTTCCATTCCAAACAAATTGCCTAGGAAGGTTGTGGGATCTCTCTCATTGGAGATTTTAAAGAACAGGTTAGACCAGGGGTGACCAACCTGAGCCTGAGAAGGAGCCAGAATTTACCAATGTACATTGCCAAAGAGCCACAGTAATATGTAACCCCCCACCCAATCAGCTTCCCACCAGCTCCCAGTGCCTCCCGACCACTGGCAGCCCTGATGCTCAGCACCTCCCGCTCCCTCCCCACACCTCCCGATCACCTGTTTCATGACGTGCAGGAGGCTCTGGGGGAGAGGAGCGAGGGCATGGCAGGCTCAGGGGAGGGGCGGGAAAGCATGGAGTGGGGGCGGAGCCTGTGGCAGAGCCAGGGGTTGAGCAGTGAGCACTCCCTGGCACATTGGAAAGTTGGTGGCCGTAGCTCCAGCCCTGGAGTCGGTGTCTATACAAGGAGCCACATATTAAACTTCTGAAGAGCCGTATGTGGCTCTTGAGCCACAGGTTGGCCATCCCTGGGTTAGACAAACACCTGTCAGGAATGGTCTAGTTCAGGGGTAGGCAAACTTTTTAGCCCGAGGGCCACATCGGGATTGCAAAACTATATGGAGGGCCGGGTAGGGAAGGCTGTGCCACCCTAAACAGCCTGCCCTGCCCCCATCTGCTCCCTCCCACTTCCTGTCCCCTGACTGCCCCCCTCAGAATCTCCAACTCATCCAACCCCCTCTGCTCCTTGTCCCCTGACCACCCCCTCCCTATCCAACCCCCTCTCCCTGTAACCTGACTGCCCCAACCCCTATCCACACCCCCACCTCCTGACAGGCCCCCCGGGACTCCCACGCCTATCCAACCACCCCCTGCTCCCTGTCCCCTGACTGTCCCCCCCAGAACCCCTGACCCATCCAACCCCCCTGCTCCCTGTCCTCTAACTGCTCCAACCTCTATCCACACCCTCGCCCCCTGACAACCTCCCTGGGACTCCCATGCCTATCCAGCCACCCGTTCCCCGACCCCTCCCAGAACCTCTACCCAATCCAACCGCCCCCTGTCCCGACAGCCCCCCAGGAGCCCCCGCTCCCTTACCATGCCAGAGCCAGCCACGCCACCCTGCTGCCCAGCAGGAGCAGTGGGCCAGAGCGCTGGTGGTGCAGTGAGCTGAGGCTGTGGGGGAGGGAGGACAACACCAGCTAGCCTCCCTGGCTGGGAACTCAGGGGCCGGGCAGGACGGTCCCGCGCGCTGGATGTGGCCCGTGGGACATAGTTTGCCCACCTCTTGTCTAGTTATTATTACGTGGTTCTGTGTTGAGTGCAGGAGACTGGACTAGATGATCTACTGAGGTCTCATCCAATCCTACATTTCTACAATTCCTGAATGACAAGGATTTTTACATTCCCTGTGAAACTGATACTCCATTTTCCCAACCAGCTGTAATTAGCAGAGATCATGAGAATGTAACAAATAATAATTTGGTCAGGGGAAGACAGGAAATGCACTACTGCCTTAGAACTTGTAGCATACAAAGTCACTTTTAAAATCTAACATATCTTGTATACAGACTCTGATACTATCCCTACTGAGGATGTTATAAAGGTCTCAAAGTTTCACATTAAATTTGGTCACATGAGATCAAAACTACTATTACAAAAGCTGCCCCAAACAAATCAATTAATGAAGGTTAAACTTCTGAGTCTCTAGGATTTCTTTTGCCGTTCCCTTTTATTATTATTTTTTAGTCAGTCTATGAGAGAATCTTTTTACAAGAAATCCCCCCCCAATACAGTTGTAAATGGAGTTTAAAAGGATATAGACCCTCGGCTATTTATATTTGGCTAGAAAGGCTATTCTTACCAGTTAACTGTCTTTTTCTTGCTATGCGATTGTGTTTTAGGCAGAGGAAAGAAAGTTTAGAACTCTCAGACATTATTTCTTTTGTATCAGATTCACAATCCTAGCCTTCTTGGATGCAAGTGGTCTTTCACCACTCTAGGAAAAAATTCAAACTAGACTAAGGTCACTTACAAGTACAGTTCTACTCTAGAAAGTGACTATGTAAAAAGGGCACCTTGCCCAACAGATCTGTTCCTTGTATGTATTCAGAGTCAAAGCTGCTGAGTTTGAGGAAAACAGTTTTTTTTTTACTGCTATTGCTAGTTAACATTGCAGAGCCAACACAGCTTACAGAGAGTGAGCTCTCTTCGACTACTCCTTGTATCAACAGAATGGCTTATTACATTCCAAGCAGTTACATCTGACAAAGCCACAGAGGGCAAAGGAGTTGCACAGGTGTCGCTGAAAATGCAATCTCAATACAATGGGAGTTATACCACTGAGATTGAGGGCTCAACTTGGTCTGAAGCACCTTCATTGCTCTGATCCCAGACTCTCTGATCCCATGTGAAGTTTGCAGGGCTCTCGGTTAAAGATATCTCCCCACATCTGTAAAGCAAGTATATTCAACGTAGCATCATTGAGAGACAAACATAGAACCCCCACCAGCGCCACTTTTATCAATTCGCTTTTCAGAACCAAACCCTGCTTTAAGTTTATAGCCAGTGCTACGGGTTACACTTCCTGAGCTTCAGGAAAGGTATATAGTAAATAGGATTGAGGTCTTTCATATGTTTCATTACATCACCCTTAGTTTTTAAAAAGCTCTAATCAGTCATATCTTGCAGCATAGTTTGAGGACCCAAACCATAAAATTAGATACAGCTCCAAACTTCCCCAAACCCTTCTCCAGTTTAGAGCTGGGGTTGTGGTTGATGTGACTTTACCAATAAGTCTGCTTATTAACTTTCAGCTGTTGCACTCCACTGTCAGTGCATTTGTACACAGAAAAGTGACTATGGAAAAATGGCATCTTCCTTCCACATTTGTGCTCCCTATATCTTACTGACGAAAGTAGATTTTTTACTACTGTTTGTACTCTCTCCCCGCCGCAGCCCCAGGGCAGCCTGCATCCCAAACCCCTCATCGTCAGCCCCACTCCAGAGCCTTCACCTCTAGCCGGAGCCCTCACCCTGTTCACTCAACCCTCTGCCTCAGCCCCCTCCTTCATCCCAAACCCATCATCCCCTGCCCCACTCAAGCCCTAGCTCTGAGCCCCCTCCCGCACCCCAGTCTCCTCATCCCTGGCCCCACCTGAGCCCTCATTCTCCTCACCCCCCAACCCTCTGCCCCAGCCCTGAGCCCCCTCCCATACGCCGAACCCCACGGCCCTCCCCCCACATCACTTCCATATTGGTACACATAAAATTAATTCCACACATGGACATAAAAAATTAAAAGGGAACACTGACCATGTGTATAATAAAACCCCAGGTAACAACCCTTGTCCGAGTCATTTCTGTCCCACCATGCATTGCCAAAACTACCTAAGAGATAGCACAATGAACGGTGGCGGGTTGTATGCTAGGATACCTACCAATGGTGCACTGCACTATTCATCAACACAAGCACTTCTGGTGAGTATGTGCAACACTGACGCAAGGAGCCAAGTATGCACATGCACAAGTGATATACTGTGGTGGCTGTATGTCAATGTAACTTGCATCAGCAAAACTTTTGTAGACATGACAGCAGTGCAAGAGGAAGAACTGGGAGAACCACATGAAAGTAGTGACTCTACAGCATGCTCCACTCCACCCAAAAAAACCCTTGTATGCAAGGAATATGCTTTAGTGTCCTACTGGGGGAGGATGGAACCAGTGAGGAGCTACAATGGGCACACCCCCTTGTCACATTTATCTCAGTCTCATGTAGTACCATAGAATTTTTCACTATTTCTGTTAGCAGCTAGATTGTGGCCAATACGGTGTGCAAGCAGATGTAAAGCACTGTAACTCCCTGCACTCAATATCCAGGAGAGAGCAATCTGCATGCAGCTGTTATATTCCCGTCTCCCCTTCCCCCCATGTGTAGGTGGGAGCAGCGGGGGAAAACTGTTACCTACCTTTCATAGCTGTTGGTCTTAGAGATGTGTTGCTCCTGTCCATTCCATTCTAGATGTAACCCTGAGATGCTATGTCCAGCACCCAACGGTCCAAGGTGACTTGAGACCAGGCCAAACGGAAGGGATGAAGACGGTTGAGGAAAGAGTGGGGTGGATCCTGGAAGGTAATTGGGGCATTGCTCTCGACTGCACCCTCAAAATGAGTGCTTCTGGCCCCTGGTGGGTTTTGCCAGGCTGGGCTGGGAGGAGGAAGGATGATGGTGGCTGAAACTAACATCTCTGACCCTTCTCCTTGCAGACCCTGGATGAGACTGCCAAGGCCTAGGAGGCGGGAGTGGCTGGAACTGCTTTCTCCCAAGCTGCGGTGTATGCATGCCCAGCAAGCGAAGGGTGGTCCTGGTGTCCTTTAGCCCATGCAGCCTAGCATCTGTCTGGTCCGAAAAGACACTGTCCTGGATGGAGGTCTGCATTTCCTGGGAGAGTCCGATGGTCTGAAGCCAGGAGCTGCGCCTCATTACCATTGCAAATGCAACCACCCTGGCTGCTGAGTCTGCCACATACCATGCCATCTGGAGGGAGCACCTGGCGGCCGCATTGCCCTCCTCCACCAGGGTTTCACATTCTTGGGCAAACCCTGTGGGAGGGACTCCTTGAACTTATGGAGGGAGCCCATAAGTTAAAATCGTAACAGCCCAAGAGGATCTGATGGTTTGCCAATGGAATTGCAAACTGTCCGTCAATTTTTCCTTCCAAACAGGTCCAACCGTTTGGCGTCTCTGGGTTGAGCTAGTATGCCCCCGTTTGTCTCTGTCATTGGCCACAGAGCCCACCAGCGAGCCTGGGGAAGGGTGGGTGTAGATGTATTCAAACCCTTTGGCAGGGATAGAGTATTTCTTTTCAGCCCTTTTTGAGGTGGGAAGAATGGAGGAAGGAGTTTGCCAGAGGGCCTTGTCAATCTTAAGAACACCATCATGCACTGGTTGTGCGACATGGGTTGGGGTAGAGACTAACAGGACATTAAACAGGGTGTCCAACTGCTCAGCCATTTCCTCCACCTTCAGGCCCAAGTTCTGAGCCACCCAACACAGCAGGGCCTGGCATTCTTAGAAATCATCCAGCAGGCTGGCCCTCGAGGGTCCCACAACCGCCTCATCTAGGGACGAAGATGATGACTGCATCACTGAGGGAGGCTCCAGGGCATGTTACCCCACAGGGGAGGAAGGCTTAGGGGTGGGTGCAGTTCCCTCTGCCTCGATCTCCTAGCATGCCTCATGCACTGGGCCTGGTGCAGTCTGTGCCACCAGCTGTTGCCTGATGAGCTTTGTGAAGGGGACATCGCCATAACCGGCATTTTGACAAATAAAATATGCAGAATTTTGGATTGAATTTCCCCAGGAGTAAATTACTATAAATAAAGGATTTACAAGGCCCTAAGGCTTGAAGTCAGTAGATGAAAAACTGCTAGCCCTTGCAATGCAAGGAAAGGTACTCAGACTAACCCTCATGGATGGTAAGAAGGAACTGAGAGGGCGTAGGGTCGGCGGTGCCTGATATACCCACGTATGAGCGTGGCACTCAAGTGGGCACCACTGCCGACCCTACGGGTACCACAAAGGCAAAAAACTCAGACGACCGCACATGGGCACGCACACACCTAGAATGGAATCGACCTGAGCAAGCACTCAAGGAATATGAAGAATTTTGACTTCACACCAGCTGGGCACTCCTGTGCTAATGGATTTATGCTCTATGAGGCTCAGGGTATGTCCCCCATCTGTGAACTAGTGTAAGCAGGAGGCAGACGATGACTGTCATAATTGCCTCCTGTCCTGGCAGCCACCCTGGGGTGTATGCATTTCTGAAGAAAAGAGATTACATTCTCAAGTTCAACCTCTATGGTGATGGCATAACCAAGCAGCCCATCAGTCCTATCCTACTGCAGGTCTTTAAACCCATGCAGAACCCATTGTAGGCACAGATGGGGAAGCTGGTGCTCAGGAGGTAGCTGACCCTTCTGCTTCACATGAGTGCATCTAGAAGAACAATCCCACCCAACTTGATTTCCTCCGATTGTACTGAAACTAGACAGGGAGAACAGTCCATTCTTACAAACCAGGAGACAGACTCAGATCTTCCTGCTTTCATTCCTAGCTCTGCCACTGACCATGTATAATGTTGGTCATTTAACATTTTCATGCCTCTATTTACCCATATGTAAATTGGACCAAAACCCTTCTGAGGCTCCGTTAACTAATTCTGAAAATACTTTTGAGATCCAGGAATGTAATTATAAAGCATAAATAATGACTTTAGTAACAATACTGCCTCACTGAAATCACGTCAAATTCTTATTCACGGTTTTACACCTTGTAACAGGTTTGTATTCATTTAATCTACATTCAATTCTGCTGTGTCACACTGATTAAAACAGCCAGCCATGTACAGTACAGGAGGCAGGGAAAGATGTCACATTTCAACTGTGTGGAGCAGTTGGGAGGAATTGTTGCACACTAAACTGACCTAATTCTTCAATCTGCCAGATTAAAGGCGTTAAAAATGCTCAGAAATAATAAACTGACACACTCTGATAGGTGCAAACAACTGCAGCACCTTTTTTTTGATATAACTCTATTCCATCAGGATTTAGTAATTAAATAAAGAGCATAATCAACAAGACTGGAACTTATTTAAAAAAATCCCATGCACCTGAACCAGTGAAAGTATTAAAGTTGACTACACACAATTTACTTCACAACAATCAATTCTGGAATATATTTAAGTCCTTAAAAAAGTTAATCTGTTTTAAACAGCATCACACGTATGTGAGACCTGGTTTAGGAGGAGTTTTCTCCCCAACCACTAGCGTGGGGAACTCCTATTCCCAAGGGTTGGGAATGCTCTTCCCACACTGCTCCGACTGTTAATAAATAAATAAATAAATAAATAAAAGTATGTTTGAGCATGGCATCTGGGAACCCCTTGGTAGAACAGGCAGTCTGGGGACAATGGGACAGAACTGCGATAAAGTTACTGTTAACCAGGGAGACAGGATGCTCAATGGATTGATTGCGAGTGCCTCTGTATTCCAGTGAAGCCTCTCTCACAAAGACATGTGTGTGTGTTAGGAACAGAACCAGGCAAATGTCTCCAGATAGGGTTGTCCGAGGTGGATTCAGTGTTGACATGCAGCTGTGGTGGAAACTGTTTTGTCCATAGCTGTCCCTCCGCATGCATCAAGGAAAACAGCAAAGAACAGAAGTGTTCTCCTGGTGGTACCGATGGCTGTGTCCCACGAGCCGTGGGATTCCCTCACAGATCAAAGATGCCGTGGCAAGTGGTGGGGCATTACAAGTCTGTCAAAGTCTCTCAGCTTTTATTAATTTGATTCCTGGTAATGTAAAACACCCCTGTAGCAGAAAGCCACACTGCTCATTCCCACATCATATGAAATCATTCACCATTTTATGTACAAGTTCTGAATTACAATCTTCAACTTTTCATCAAAAAACAAAAATAAAGCCTAAAAAAGCATTTTTTGGTAAAACTGCACAGTATAAAGAAGCATACTTTCATTACACAATGTCTTACACAACACATACTTTGACAAAAAGCAGAACCTGTTACCGTTTTGAGAATGAGGAGGCAGCGCCCAGACAAAACTAGATGTTACACATCCATGACTAGAGGGATAGCTTTAACTGAGTAAAAGATGACATGAAAAATATGTCCTGAACACCCCAAAATAGCTTAACAGAAAAAATAAAAGCACATTTGTAAACAACTTAAAAACAAAAGCCTTTTGAAAATTCTGAAGTCACAAGAAGATAAATTGTTAATTCTCCTTGGCTCAAATAGCCATTGCTATCCTCTAGGTTTGCTGGGGGAGATGTACAAGGATTTTGCCCACACAGAAGACTTCACTGAGAAAGTGGGGGCAAATAGTTCAAATTTTTGGTGGAATTAGGGAAGGGAAGATTGAAAAGCAAAAGGACATGAACTCTATATTCCCCCTGGAAAATATCGTTAGAATGGCAACACAATCTAAGTAGTGAAAGGAGCTGAATTCCACAGTGTACATTACTTATTTTACAATCTGAGACCCTTTTCAATGTAAACTTAAAAGGTTATAAGCAACAGTTCTAACTTAGACTTTTGTATTATGTACCATTAAATGAAGTTAGCATTGCTTTCACTTCCATTATTCAAACTTTGCCATAAAGTGACTTTGCATATGAAGTGTTAATATTAATTTATTTAAACATGTTTCATTATGACACAGAAGAACCTCAATAACTGTCCTGGGAAATGATTTTGCAATTATTAACCATGCATGTGAAGTCAAGCATTAGTATTCATTCTACTCTACTTCATGCTTAAACACATGCTAAGAAGCTGCTGAACACTGACTGTGTCCATTTTGGTAGATGGACAGATGTATGCAAACAGCAATGCTTTGGATCACTTGTGCTATTCCTAATACTACAGTTATTTTCTCTGCCAATTACATTTTGCTATAAATATGTGTGCCCTTAAGTTGATCCCAATATCAGTTTCAGCTAACTAATCAAATTATCTGCTAAGGTTTCGGGAATGATAACCCTTCCTTTATTTAAATAAAGTGAGGGAAGGGTTTTAACTCCCGAAAGGCTTGCCAATAATAGGTTTATTTTAAAGTTAGAATGACACTGTTCAGTAAGCTATCCTTCATCTTTGATATTCTTATACATTCACAATAATATCAACATTTATCAGATAGGAAGAAGAGGAGAAGAGAAAAGTAGTGAGGTTTTTACCACTAAGTATTTTAACCAAGCGCTACTAATGAACTCTTGCACTAATTTATTTATCTGAAATGAAGCCCAACAACTAAATCATCACAATAAACTTTTGATCATCTCGCTGGTATTTTGATGATACAAGAGTCTAAGTTTTCATTTTATATTTTCTCTTTGCAAAAGATTAATGTTATTAAAACCCAAGTCTGAGAAACTTAAAAATAGTTTAGGATTCTATTAAAAAGTGACTCAATTGAAAGTTAGTTTATAATCCAAACAATCCATTTTCGGTGATCTCTGCCCACATAATCATGGCAAATACAGATATTGACCATTCCATGTTTTGTTTGAGTTTGTTAAATGCAACTCTTCAGTCACAAAGGCAGCAGGCATTCTGTGGCGGGCTTGCTTTGAACACTTCTCAAACGACTGAAATAACTAGGATTCACAAAGCAGACTAAGCCATTTCTCTCATTTTCTTACCAGCTTTGTCCATCTGCATTCCCTACTTCATATCATGTTTTGGTATTTAAAAATAAATAAAAATCACTCAAGTCCTCAGCTCTTTATCCAAAACAAACTTATTTACATGTATGGTGAATACGGATGTTTTCCTTTCAGCATTTCAATAAGGGTTCAAAAAGATCCCAATAACTAATATGAAGGGAATGATTATATAGAACTTTATATTCATTTGCTTTCTGAATTGGCTTCCAAAGATGCTACAGGCACAAAAGCTTTAAAGGTTAACAGATGCTTCCACACATTTTGATTTTTCCCCCTTTTATACAAGAGGCCCACTTTGCTCAATCACCATCATAATTTTTTGTCCAATATGATTAGGTGAAACTGCATGCCATCCCACTCCTCACCCAAAAAAAGTAAAGAAAATACAGCCTTTTGCTTCAAATATTTTATGAATGCAAGATTACAAGAATTATATTAATCAAAATGCAGGGCTATCAAGCACTGAACCAGTGATGTTGGCATCAGTCTGACTACCATTTTGCATGTGGAAAAATGCACTAAATCTAAGGGAAAAGGTATCACTAATGCATCATGAATTACTCTGGTCAATCAACATCAGCTCTGCAGCATGGTGCATGAGAAAATGACTGTCACTGTAAATTTGTTTGAGATGAGACAAGAACAAAACCATTCTAAAACAGAAGTTTTTGTTTTGCTCTTATTGAGGTAACATCAGAAATTAAAACAAGATCTTACAATTTAGCAGCCATTTTAATGCTTTTGTTAGGCTAGCCTTCACACACCGAGCACGTGTACAGCCACAGTTCACTGTATTTGTGTAAGCTGAGTGCTGGTGATTAATTCAAGTCACTGTTCTCCCACCTCATTCAATAAACCTGGTGAACTGAATGTTCACCATAAGAAAAGGAAAATAAATGACGTTCTAAGTGCAGCAGACAAATATAGGCATTCTGAACACATCAAGAAGCTAACACCCATGAGCTGTCATAATAAGGGATAATACAAAAGTCTTTTCTGTGCATATTTTTGATTTGAAAGGTCCCAGTGAATCATGATGTGCCTTGTCGTTTCTGTTGCTGATTTCTGATGACCTCTAACTGTTTTTTGCATTGCTGGTAGTAAGTCGAAAGACTTTTGTTTTCGTCTAAAAGCTTTTTATGTTCTTGTACCAGACGGGATGTGTTTTGCTGGTCTTTCTCATCCTGGTCCAGTTCTGCTATTAGCTCCTGTCTAAAGATAAAAAAAATGTTAACATTAAAATGTTATGGAGAATAAAAATCATAGAATCATAGAATATCAGGGTTGGAAGAGACCTCAGGAGGTCATCTAGTCCAACCCCCTGCTCAAAGCAGGACCAATCCCCAACTAAATCATCCCAGCCAGGGCTTTGTCAAGCCGGACCTTAAAAATCTCTAAGCATGGAGATTCTATCCCCTCCCTAGGTAACCCATTCCAGTGCTTCACAACCCTCCTAATGAAGTAGTGTTTCCTAATATTTAACCTAGACCTCCCCCACTGCAACTTGAGACCATTACTCCTTGTTCTGTCATCTGCTACCATTGAGAACAGTCTAGTTCCATCCTCTTTGGAACCCCACTTCAGATAGTTGAACGCTGTTATCAAAACCCCCCTCATTCTTCTCTTCTGCAAACTAAATAAGACCAGTTCCCTCAGCCTCTACTCATAAGTCGTGTGCCCAAGCCCCCTAATAATTTTTGTTGCCCTCCGCTGGACTATCTCCAATTTGTCCACATCCCTTCTGTAGTGGGGGGACCAAAACTGGATGCAATACTCCAGGTGTGGCCTCACCAATTCCAAATAGAGGGGAATAATCACTTCCCTCGATCTGCTGGCAATGCTCGTACTAATGCAGCCCAATATGCCGTTGGCCTTCTTGGCAGCAAGGGCACACTGCTGACTCATATCCAGCTTCTCGTCCACTGTAATCCCCAGGTCCTTTTCTGCAGAACTGCTCCTTAGCCAGTTGGTCCCCAGCCTGTAGCGGCGCCTGGGATTCTTCCTTCCTAAGTGCAGGACTCTGCACTTGTCCTTGTTGAACCTCATCAGATTTCTTTTGGCCCAATCCTCCAGTTTGTCTAGGTCACTCTGGACCCTATCCCTACCCTCCGGTGTATCTACCTCTCCCCCCAGCTTAGTGTCAACTGCGAACTTGCTGCGAGTGCAATCATTCCTATCATCCAGATCATTAATAAAGATGTTGAACAAAACCAGCCCCAGGACCGACCCCTGGGGCACTCCGCGTGATACTGGCTGCCAACTAAACATCGAGCCGTTGATCAGTACCCATTGAGACTGACACCTGCTTGTTTTTGCGAGTAGTCACTACAGTATATTTTTATTTTTAACCAAATTCAACTTTTTATTTCATTTGTCACTGAGTTTATGAAGATCATGTCTCAGGTGTAATATTTAGTACAACAGAAAGGCCTAAGAGTTCACAACAACCGAATTGGTTTTTACATTATTCTCTATACTTCTCAGTACATTAACTCAATACTGAATGCAAACCCAGAGCTTTTCTATACATTATTCTAATCTGTAAAATTCTTTTAAAATCTCACTAAGTAAAGGCTCCAAACCTACAATAAAGTTCATGCAATGGGACCTGCATCGTATATATTATCACTCTAAATCACTAGGGTGAAGGAGTCTGATTGCTCAGAGCTCATTGCATAACTGGGGCCTAATGTCTTGCCACAATTTATTCAGACGAATGGCTGGGGTTAAGTCAACCTAAGTTATGCTACTCCAGCTACGTGAATAATGTAGCTGGAGTCGACAAAGCTTAAGTCGACTTACCCCTGTGTCTTCACAGCACTGAGTCAACGGGAGATGCTCTCCAGTTGACTTCCCTTACTCTTTTCGGAGAGCTGGAGTACCGGGGTCGACCAGAGAGCGCTCTGCCATCGATTTAGCGGGTCTTTACTAGACCTGCTAAATCAATCCTTGCTGCATCAATTGCAGCAGCCTCGATCTCCCCGTAGTGGAGACCAGCCCTTAGTCCCCGATCCTGCACGTAAGTACATGTGCTTAAGGTTAAGCACATGGAGTAATCTTACAGACTTCAATGCAGGATTGGGACCTTAAAAAGAAAAATCTGTTTAAAGCAGCACTCCTACTTCAGACACTAATAAATATTCGTTGAAAAAATATTCTTAACTGCTATTCTCTGTCACTCAAACCCTTCTTTCTAATAAAGCCATAAAAATGAAAGTCACTGAGACAGAGATATAGTACTCCAGTACACAAAGATACCCTTCACTTGTCTCATCTCAATATTTCTAAATCTATTTTTTCCTCGTTACAAGCATTTTACTTACTTTCTCTGCAACAGCAATGCAATTTCAGTCTGAACTTTCATATATTCTTGTGCCATTTTACAGTGCTGTTCAAATACAGCCATAGATTCTTTGGAGTTTGGGCATGGTGCTAGAGGCTGAAAATAAATCAGACATGTTAAAATCTAATCAACTGATATCTCAATAATAGTGTGTTAGAATGTGTCTGCAATATATTTATACCAGCTTTCAGAAACTAGTAAGCTTTTAAAAATAAGTGTTAAACCATGCCCTGGAAAAATCTTCGTGCACTGTTGCCAAAGCTGAATCAGACCTAACATCTACATTTATTGCTCTACCACATTCTTTGTTACAAAGGATGATGATCAAAGCACTATTTGATCATCCATAGAACAAATAAAGTTTGGATGAGACCGTAGCAATTTTATTCTATGACCTCGAGCAAATTTCTTATTCATACTTTTAAACTAAGATTTCAATTTGTTGTAAGGATCATATTTCCCAGAGCTTGTTTTTAATAGCTTGATTAAATCTGAGTCAACCAATCTCAGGTTACAGAATAATTTTTTTTAGCCTTGTTCAAAAGTTAGGCAGTACACAAACAAACATCAACGAATACGTAAAACAATTTTTTTTAGCCCATATTTATGTCATTCAGGGGAAAAAAAAGATGAATTTTAGACTAGTTTAGACTGAATTAAAAATTCAATTGCTCATAAGATATACAATTATTACCTGCAACTGGTGATCTAGTGTAAGATATGCCATTGGGATGGAGTTATCTGACCCATTGGTATCTGTAACAACAATACCACAGCTATAATATATTTTCAATTGAGTTAATTGTACATTTCCATGTAGGACATCCATAAGACACTATACTTCCTTAGCAAAAAAGGATTATTATTTAAACAAAACTAAACATCAATATGCAGAATGATATATGGAAATATCAGGTTTTTTTGGTTTGTGTTTTGTAAAGTTAGTTGAGAATGACAACATTATTAGAGTATGATCTATTGTACTGAAAGGAAAAAAAGATTAAATATTACACCTTTATAAATTTCTAGAGGCCATTTTAGTTGAACATAAGTTTTTTGCAGAGTTTGCATTCTGGCTGTCTGTTTATAAAGTTATTTGCTATGCCATTCTTGTTTATGAGGGATCAGCCAGTTAGCCTACCCATTAGGGTGACCAGATGTCCTGATTTTATAGGGACGGTCCAGAGATTTGGGGCTTTTTTTTTAATATAGGTGTCTATTACCACCCACCCTCTGTTCTGATTTTTCACACTTGCTATCTGGTCACCCTACTACCCATTAACTGAATTTAAATTAAGGCTGGGCAAAACAGCTCTGAAAAACAAAATGAACACAAACTTTGTTCAGTCATGACATGACTGACTTTACTCAAGACATGAAATTAAACCTAGGCAAATACCACCTCTCCCACCCAATATGCCCAAGGACACCTTTTTCTCTTCAATACTCTTAGGGATAGCAGATGAGTAATGGGGGAACCCTATAACATCTCTGCTGGGCCTCGCTGCTGTTGCTCTCTTCCAAAACAGTAACACCATGGGCCTTCCCAGAACTTTCCCTCCGAACTACATTGCATGCTTCTGGCATCTCACATGCTTTGTATCTTTAGAAGCCCAATATCTGAGGGACACAAGCCTATTGCTAAATCTTAAGATACAGCAGTAGGATTAAGTGGAGAAACTACTGGGTTCCAGCACTGTGGGACTGCTATCAGGAGAGCAAACGGTAGAGGATAGGTGGGAAAGAAGTGGGCTGCTCAGCCATACCCCAAAAGCATCTGCCATAAAGTAGTGGGGTGGCGGCGGCGAAAATGAAAAGGTGTTGCCTCCCAAAGGTTACCTACCATAGCTCCACTGAGTACCAAAAGAGAGGGCTACCCAAGGTCATGCTGTAACCAACATTACCTTAAAACGAGAACTTTTTGAAACAGTTTTTCTGATATCTTGTATTTTTTTTTCCTACTCAGATTTACGCAAACCATGAACTAAAGACTGTCCTTGGAAAGGAACCGAGACTCTGGGCTTCCAGTGCTACATATCATTTCTGAGACAAATATGTCAGAAAGCCTGCCCACTTGTGATCTTAGGATGTCACAGAGAACCGACGGTGTTAGCGTGTTGAAGTTCTGATCCTTTTATAATGGTTTGTAAGCACCGGACTAAGAGTATAAGAATTCTTTAACTAGATTCTACTATTATAAAACATGGTTGGTTGAGTGAGTGTAATGTAACAAAAAAGAGTGATACTCTGTTAAACAAATATTTTACACACTTCTGAAATAAAAGTTCATGCTAACTTTTTGTAAAACACCTTGCAAAAGCATGTGTGTACATGCCTTCTTCCTCCCCCCACACCTCTCCAGAGATATGGGCCTGAAACTGCCACCCTTACTTATCCTGAGTAGTACTTTATCCAAAAAGGTGGCTCACTGAAATCTAGACATGTGTATTTATAATGTACACATACAAATAAAACGTTGCCTTGTGTTTTAAAAAATGCAGCATCAAAATTCTTGTTCAAAACTGTTAAGTAGAATATTCTATTTATAGTAGCATCATAGGAAAATTATATATTTTGCTTTTAATGAACTATAGTTAAGAGTTTATGTAATTTCACTGAGTCTACTTAAAGAATTTGTACAACCAGTGAGCAAATGCAGTAATGGTTTAAATGAGTCAGAAAACTAAAACCAATCAATTGCTCTATTATTCAATTTCTTTGTAAAGTTTACACACACATTGATCTTAATCAAAATATATTATAAAAACAAAAACCAAAACCAAAACCAAACATCACCTGTAGATTCATCAGGTGTCCATGGAAGACTACGAGCTGGCTTTTCAGTGGTTGGTCCTGGGGTAGTGATCATTCTCACACTAGGACTAGATGACCTACTGCTGTTTCTGCTCTCCTGCACAAATAAAACAAGATTTTTAAATAAGACTCTTATTATAGTCTGTGACAGTGACAAAACCAAAACAAGGGAAGACTGGTTCAAGAGTTTGTTTTACTAACCGTTTTGGAGCTGGCTAACGGATATAAAGAAACAAGAGCGTTCATTTCTATAGTTCTTTTTATTCTGAAAGCTCTCAAAATGCTTGATAAACTTTACGAACATGTATAGAAATTATATAGGAATCATTTCACCCTCATCTAAAATTTATCTTTGAATTATAACAGCAGTTCTCAAACTTCATTGCATTGCGACCCCCTTCTGACAACAAAAATTACTACACAACCACAGGAGGGGAGACTGAAGCCTGAGCCTACCCGAGCCTTACCACCCCAGGGGGGGAGGGATGGGGAAAGAAACGGGGACAACAAAGCCCAAGACTTCATCTGTGGGCCGGGGGCCTGTAACCTGAGCCCCACCACCTAGGGCTGAGGCCTGAGCCCCACCTCCCTGGGCGGCTGGGCTCGGCCTTATACAATGTACTCAGGAGGTTGCAACATTTTGAGCATCCTGTTATGATTCTACATAATAATTATCACACTAGAGTCAGAAGCTGCATTCACTAGAACAGGGGTCGGCAACCTTTCAGAAGTGGTGTGCCAAGTCTTCATTTATTTGCGGTAATTTAAGGTTTCACGTGCCAGTAATAAATTTTACATTTACAGGGGCTGGCGGATGGAACCCCAGACTGGCAGCGGGCTGAGCGGACCGGCAGCTGGGACCCCAGGCCGGCAGCGGGCTGAGTTCCGTCTGGGGTTCTGTCTGCCAGCTCCTACCAGCTGGGTCCTGGCTGCCGGCCCGGGGTTCCATCCATCCAGGCCGGCAGCAGGCTGAGCAGGGCCGGTGGCAGGGACCCCAGGCCGGCAGCAGCATGCCACAGTAAATCAGCTTGCGTGCCATAGGTTGCCGACCCCTGCACTAGAACATGTCAGCTTCAGCTTATGAGAAAACTAAGGAACCCAGTTCATTTCCAGTGTTTCCACAATAAGAAATTAAACAAGTGCACACAGCTAGAAGTGGTTCACCTCTCACTACATGCTTAACTTTTGAACATATGTATGGATGACTATGTGGCGTCCCTGCAGATATCAGAAATTGACACCTGGGCCAAGAAGGCTGCCGATGAGGCTTGTGCTCTAGCTGAGTGGGTGGTCATGATCGCTGGTGGAGGCACTTTTGCCTGATCAAAGCAGAATTGGATGCAGGCTGTGATCCAAGATGAAATTTTCTGGGTGGATACCCCCAGACCTTTCATCCAATCCGCCACCCCGATGAAATACTGCGTTGACTTGCGAAATGGCTTTGTCCTCTCAATGTAGAAGACTAGCGCTCTCCTGACAGGGGCAGTGGCATCGGCGTTGTCACTGACAGATACACGAGCGTGCCAAACCAGGGCTGGTGAGGCCAAGCTGGTGCTATCAGGATAACCTTGTCCTTGTCCTGCTTGATTTTCATGAGGACTTTGTGAAGCAATGGTACCGGCGGGAAAGTGTACATCAGAGTCCCTGAGCAAGGAAGTAGAAAGATGTCTGACAGGGAGCCGGTTGACCCCCTGAAATAGCAGAACCGGTAGCACTTCCTGTTCTTGTGAGTCATGAACAAGTCCACCTGAGGACTTTTGGAAGACATGGTTGACCACATCCGGGTGGAGAGACCACTGGTGGTGAGACGAGAAGGTTCTGCTGAGGCAATCTGCCAATACGTTCTTGGTTCCGGGGAGGTGCGCTGCTACAAGATGAATGGCATGCTGCACACAGAAGTCCCATAGTCTGAGGGCTGATGACCTGGCTCCACCCTGCTTGTTGATATAAAACATTGTGGTAGTGTTGTCAGTCACGACTTGAACCACTTTGGGACCGAAAAGCCTGGCAGGCCAAGCGAACTGCCCTGAACTTCCTGACATTTATGTGGAGGGTGCAGTCGACCCCTGACCACTGCCCTGTGTGCTGAGCTTGCCCAGGTGGGCTCCCCAGCCTGGTGTCCGACACCAGAGTTAGCGACGGGGACAGGGCCGCCAAGGGGACTCCCTGCAACACTGATGTGGGGTCCATCCACCACGCCAGTGATGCCCAGATGTACCTTGACAACCAGGTCCAGGTTGTGCCTGTTGGGAATATAGACTGATGCCAACCACACCTGCAGCAGCTGGAGGTGGAGTTGGGCATGACGGACCACGTAAGTACAAGCATCCATGTGGCTTAGCAACCTTCGGCAAGTGTGGGTGGTGGTGAGTGGGTGGTCCCTCACATGGGAGATTACGTCTAACATGGTTCGGAACCGGGTCTCCGGAAAGAATGCCCTGGCCCGCCCCGATAAACTCTATCCGTTGCACTGGTACGAGGGTCAATTTCTTTTCGTTCACTAACAGCCCCAGGTTGCGGCATGTGGACCACAGCAGATCGAGACTGCTCTGCCCTTGATACTGTGATCTGCCCTTGATGAGCCAATCGTGGAGATAAGGGTAGACCTGGACTCCCCGATGCCTCAGATAAGTGGCTATTGGGGCCATGCATTTTGTAAAGACCTGTGGGGCCGAGGAAAGGCCAAAAGGGAGCTCCGTGAACTGGAAATGGCACTGGCTCACCATAAAATGGAGGAACAGTCTGTGCCCTTGAAAGAGAGAGATATGGAAAGAAGCATCTTTCAAGTTGAGAGCAGCGTACCAGTCTCTTGGATCCAGGGAAGGAATGATGGAGGCCAGGGATATCATGCAAAACTTCAACTTCTTGAGTCATGTCAGGTCCAGAATGGGACGTAGGCCCCCTTTTGCCTTCGGGATCAGGAAATAGCGGGAGTAGAAACCTTCCCCCCTCTTTTCTTGAGGGCCTCCTCCACTGCCCTCAGTTGCAGGAGGCTGTTTATCTCCTGAACGAGGAGTCGTTCGTGAGAAGGGTTCCTGAAGAAGGACGGGGAAGAAAGGGGGAGGGGGGGGGCACAAAAACTGAAGGGTGTAGCCCAGTGACACAATTTTTAGTACCCAACTGTCCGAGGTGAGTCTCAACCAGGTCGAACAGTAGGGATGGAGATGGTGATGGTTGAGGAAAAGATGGGGCAGATTCGGGGAGGTAATTGGAGTGTTGCTCTTGAGTTCTCCCTCAAAACGCCTGCTTCAGGCCTCCGTGGTATTTCGCTGGGCCAGGCTGCACAGGTGAATGGAAGGAGGAAGGGCGGCGTCCGGAATGGCTTCATCGCAGACTCAGGCGTATGCATCCCCAGGGAGCAGAGGATGGCCTGAGTGTCCTTCAGACCATGCAACCTTGTGTCCGTCTAATCGGAAAACAGCCCGACTCCATCGAACAGAAGAAGATTTTCTATGTCTTAAGCCAGGAGTTGCGCCTCATAACCACTGCCGAGGTGACCACCCTGGCTGCTGAGTTGGCCGCATCCCAGACCATCTGGAGGGAGCACCGAGCTGCTGCGGTACTTTCCTCCACAAGAGCCCCTAACTCTTGGGCCGCCTCCTGGGGCATGGAGTCCCACAGGTTAAAATTATAATGCCCCCAAAGAGCCTGGTGGTTCGCTACCCGGAACTGGAGATTGGCCGTGAAATAAATGTTTCTTCCAAAAAGATCCAGTCTCTTGGCCTCCTTATTTCTTGGGGTGAAACTAGCAGGCCCCTGCTTGTCCTTTTCGTTGACCACTGACATGACCAACGACCCCGGGGGTGGATGGGTATATAATTATTCAAACCCCTTGGCAGGAACAAAATACTTTTCCTTGGCCCTCTTGGAAATGAGTGGGATGGAAGACAGTATTTGCTAATTTGCTTTGGCAATGTTCAGGACCCCTTCGTGCACCGGGAGTGTGACACATGCGGGGGTGGACACCGAGAGTACATTGAACAATGGGTCTGATTGCTCTGCCATCTCTTCTGCCTCAAGGCCTAAGTTAGTGGCCACCCGTTGGAGCAAGGCTTGGTACTCCTTAAAGTTGTCCGGTGGGCTAGCATGGGAGGGCAATGCCACCGCCTCGTCTGGAGAGGACGACGATGAATGAACCACTGGGGGAGGGTCCGGGGGATCATCCCCCGCAGGGGAAGGAGGTCTCTGGGTGGGCACCTGTTCCTCCACCACAGCGACCAAGGACTGGAGACGGGTCATCAGCATAACCGGCATGCCCCAGGTGTTCTAATAAGGCCATTGCGCTGGCTACTGGCCCTGCTGCCAAGTTGGCATCGCTGTGGCGGATGCAACCCCCGGAGCCCAGTTGCGATGGTGCTGTCTCAGCAAGAGGCTGAACTCCCTCTCCGTGCCAGAGAAATCTTCCTCCGGTGACCAGGGCGAGGCCAACAACACTTGAGTCTGGCGGCTAACTGTTGCTATGGGTGACTGCTGCCTCGAATTGTTAGACTGATGCTGGGAGTATGGGGAGTGACGCCGTGTTGGGGAGCATCCTTGAGGTCTTGGTGCTGGTGACCGTCGGTGCAAAGATGACCGGTGCCAACTAAGGCGACCGGCGCCTCCCTCTGGGTGAGGTCCGGAATGAGGGTGGAGATCGGGAGCACGGTGCCGGTGACCTGTAATGGCGACCTGATGACCTGGGCTGATGCGGAGATCAAGGACGTGGCGAAAAAGGGCTCTGCCTTGGCTCCGGATACCGGCAGCGCTCACGTATCTTCTGGGAGGCCTTCACGGCTGGCTTGCCCTCATAGGGATCCTTTGCTGGGTCCATCACCACACGTGGTGCTGGCTGCGACGGGAGAGTCCGTTGCTCTCTGGGCACTGCGAGGGCATGGACTATGCCATCAGCCTGGGTCTCCTACCACTCCCCGGAGTTGGTGGTGGATCCCTTAGGGGGCAGAAGGTCCCCTCGGGGGGTGGGGGTAGGTGGGTGGGTGCCCCCTTGCGGCTCCAGCGTGGGAGGATAGCCCAAGCAGGGTCCTTTGCCCAATGCCCCTTGATCCGACTTGCTCGGTGTGGGTCCCTCTTCTCAGTCTTCTTCCTGGGCACCGGTGAAGTGGATCGGTGCTGGGAAGAGCCCGGTGCCGGGGGCCTGCTACATACCGAGGCCGAAGTGCTGGATGTTGCGTCCAGGCCGGCTCCGAGGCTGGGCGAAAAGTGGCCTCCATGAGGAGGTCCTCAAGCGAATGTCTTATTATTTCTGTATCCTGGGAAGAAAAGTTCTTACAGATGCGACATTCTCTTGAACGTTGGACTCCCCTATGCAGGTCACTTACAGGCATAGAAGGCCTGTTGCAGTCAGAGCATGGCTTAAAACCCAGAGACTGGGCATGCCCCGGCCTGGGGCAAAGTCCCCGCCGGGACCCTGACAGTACTTAACAGCTACTTACTAACGAATCTACTATAAACCAACTATTTACAGCTGGAACCAGAGGTTCGAGTAGGAAAAAAACGCTGACCACTTGTGAAGCAAGGGAAAGAGACGCTCTGACCAACCACCACAAGCAGTAAGAAGGAACTGAGAGGGCGTAGGGCTGGCAGTACCACTCAAGGGGGTGCCACAGCCAGCCCAACGGCTACAGCTAAGGGAAAAATCTCCGACAACTGTGCACGTGGGCGCGCACACACCTAGAATGGAATCTATGCGAGCAAGCACTCGAAGGATTCTGTGCTGGAGAAAATTAGAACAAAATGTGACTCAGTGCATGGGTTGTCAAGAAGTCCAGAGGATCTACCCACCCTTTCTTTATGGGAACGGATGTCCCAATTTTTTTTTATTGTAACATGGGGTGTCACAAACTGGAAAAGATTGAAAGCCCCTGGCTTAGTGTATTCAGTTGTTCATGCCCTGGATGCAATAGTCCACCAAACAGCAAATCATTATTTGCAAAGCATTAGACTGACCACGTTGATAATGCCATTCAATACCAGAAATTGGTGCTGGACAACATTTCTAATCACAGCAGCAATACAATAAAATATAATAGTGATTTCCACTATTTGCAGCTGGAGGACTATCAAGTCTAGAACATCAGAATTTGTATTTTGTTGTTGCGAGGGGAAGAAGGAGAAGTGAACTCCTTTGACAAAATCAGCAAAATACAGACACTAAATCTCTGATGGCTGTGATCAGACTGAGAGAAAAAACAACAACAGATCTCCCTCTTGTACATTAGTTTTTTCCAAACACAACTACAAATGGGCCAGATGGTGCATGGTCTTCGGTTATCAGAATGGTAAAATGAGGAATTGTGAAGGAACGATAGGACAATGAAGATGAAGACTATGCATGATTTAATATTTATACTGCAGTTGTGCTCAGAGGCACCCATCAGGATTGAGGCTCCATTGTGCTAGGCACTGTACAAATGTATATGAAGACACAGTAAACTAAAATTAAAAATAGTTTTTCAAAAAAATGGTATACAAACTAAACTTAGCCTGGATTATATGTACTTTCATTTTCATCCTGCTTGTCCCAATTGGATTATTTATTATAGCACCACAGTTGTGCACCATTCTTAATAAAATATGTGGGTTAGAGAGCTCTTTGCCTTGAGAAGCTTACAAATCTAAATTGGACAATACAAATACATTTATAAAGGGAGTAATCACTATGGTATTTAAACTACATTCAAAACAGAACAATATAATATCTTCCCATCATTAAGAAAAGACTGATATTTGTCCTCCAGGACAAGACTGTCGTATGCCCTATTTTGGGAACAACAGACGAGGTGCTGGTTCCAGCATTTACATTCACTCAGCCTGAAGAAAAAGTTGCATCTCCTATTAAAGTTTTCCATGTTTGGCTCCAGTGAGTATCTAATAAGAACGAATGCTAGAGCAGGCAATTAGGTATGGAGAATAACTTACTGCAAACTCCTACCAATTTTTTCCTCGGAATTGATAGTGAAATAGAGAGCATGACAGAGCAGAGAGGGAGAAGCAATCTCCAATTTAGCAGGCCTAGACCATTTAAGGCTTTATAGATTGTAACCAACATTCTAAAAATCACCTGTCACTTCACTGGCAACCAATGCAGTGTGTGGAGTACAAGGGTTTAAAGGGCGTGGGAATGGAAGCAAACAGTGCCATAACTGATCATTGATGAAGGCTAGGTGAAAGAAGTGGGTTTAAGGAGAGACTACAGAGATGTAGAGAAGAAGGATGTTTGCAATGAAAGCGGTGGGGGAAGGATAATATATTTATATATAATTTGAAATGGTATATGTGGAGAACATAAGTGAACTGATCAGAGCTGTGTGGATTTCTAACCTCTGTATAAACTGATTTTTTCTCCTTTACCTAGTAGGTTGTTTATATTGCTGCTAATCATTATTTTCAAGTTTTAAATTAAAAAATTCAAGGATAGCAGGAGCTCAGGTCAGAGTTATGGAAATCCATAAATATAGGCCTTGAACTTTAGGAGCAGTCTCAGGTCCTTCTGTCCATTCACACCTGAAGAAAGACAGGAGGCCATGAATGTGGTTTATTAGGCCACAACTTCATTCACTTAAAATACTGGAGTACCTGGCAACGAATTGTACAGTGCAGGAAGGAGGAGGGGAAGGTGGGGCTTGGCTCCCCAATTTTCCAGATGTAGGAGCCCAAACCCCCCTCCTCAGCAAGCTTAAAGGGGGTCTAGGAAAAGGAAGGGGTTGGCTCCCCATTCTATGAAATATGGGTGCCCCAAGCCCTCTAGGGCTTCATGGGCAATAAATACCACTGCCCTCCCACAAACTCTTCCGGTCAGCAGGAAGGACAATGCAGTGACCTTCTCCTGATATGGCACCAAATACTTCTTGCCCTTCTTGTCCATCTCTGTACACTTTTCCGCTTCTCCCAACCTGCTGTAACAGAGCGGATGAAGGCACACCACTACTTTCTTCCAGCTAGTGGACAAAGATCCACTTGTGAAGACTGCAGTGGGCATATCTAGGAGACAAACTTGCTTGCTTTCTACACTAATGTGTTGTGTGATTGAAAAGTTCTGGCTTGGTATTACAAGTTCTAGAGTCTTAGTTTTAGACTTTTCCATTGCTTCCCATTCACAGACCTCAAAAAGAAGAACACAAAAACCAGTGATTTATTTATACTGATAGTGCAAAACATTATCCACAGTGTACTTATAACTTTTGGGGTATTACTTTATTCTGCTTATCTTGTACGCTACACTATGATTCATAGTTATAATAGGGCACTTCAAAATGCAAAATATAAATTGAATTTCAAAATATAAATTGAATATGAATAGAATTTCAGACTGACAGACCTAGCAGAAATGTAAAACAAAAGATATACAGATTTCTAACCCTTAGGCTGGCACAGGTAGGAGGGAAGAAAAGGAAAATTGCTATTATTCCTGGTCGAAGGAGCAATTATTTGGCAGGAACACAGCTGAAATCGCTAAGAAAGTCGCACACAGCAGCTTTCAAAGGCAGGATACATAAAAGTTAAAAAGATCCAATACAACCTCTACATGTCTAGCCTACTAGTATCTGCAAACATTAATAATTTTTAAAGCTAATAGAAGGAACTGAAAGTTACAAATAAAAGAACTTACATAAAAATATTTTAAGATTGCATAAAATAGTGGCATATAGGTGTGATAGAAGTGCACTGAAACCATAATCATAAAATAGTTAAACATGTTACAGAATAATAACCAAAATTGTTTCAATTTTCTTTCAAGTCTTTTCTCTAATTACACTGCTCGACTAAGTAAATGTAGAATGATTTATTACTGTGCTCATATTTGTAGAATGCTTTCATTTAAAAAGCCCTATGTTTGGTATGTAATAAAAGTGTTTTGAAATTTTAAAATTGATTCTGATGCTTTCTTCTGATATATGCACATATTCCCAAATAAACCAGACAAATGAGATTTTGGAGGAAGGACAAGGTTTCTGTTGCTACAACACTGCATGAAACTGAAAAGAGATCAAATGTTAATCTCTTTGATGAGTATACACCCCTAAAATTACCACCTATTTTGGATTACTACAGTAGGCTGTTTAATATGGAAACCTGATTAACCTGATTAACACACTGAGCTCCTATTTTTCCATGTTCAAACTACAGCAGGGATCTTAAAATTACAGTAGAACCTTGCTAATTCACACTAATGATTAAAAACCCACTGTGAATTACTGACATTGACAAATTAGCAATTAAATGAACAACACAGAACAAACAAGGCTAAAGCACTACTAACTGTACTTTGGTCATTTGAGACATCTGTTTACTTTTAATATTTCATACTTCAGAGTGTATCACTGTGCTTGTTACCATGGTATCTAGACATCATGATACAAAAAGCAATAGTTACTAGTAAATATCTTGTAAAAGTAATAAAGTCTTAGTAACAAGACCTTGTTATAGTATTTCACTATTATATTTTATTCCAAAAAGTAGAGAGAGACATTATAACTAACGATTTACATTCGAGCGATAATACTATGTTGAGGTTCATTACCAGTACATACAAAATTATGCAGCATGCACAAACAAAATATATTTTTGAATAAATATTACATGTGCTGCTTAGGCAAGTTGTAATCAAGAAACTTGTCACCTAGACATCTTTCATAAGCTGCCCTTTCACAGATTTTATTTTAGATGGTAAAACAGATTCTATGTTTTGTAAATTAAATGATCCCTAATCACATAGATGAAGTTTTAAAGACTAGCTCTACACAGTACAAGTTTACAGTTGATTTCATCTAAATGTTCGTGAAAGACAAATAAAGAAGCCATAGGCTGAAAGATTTTACCTGATTGGATTCTGTTCCAGCAATACTAAGGTCTTGAATGGATCTCCGCCTCTGTTGTCCGTTTCCTGCTTGGAAAAAAAGACAAAACAAAACACTAAAATCCGCTCAGAAACAAAATAAGAAGGGTGCGACTGTTGCAGCAGGAGCTTGGAATTTGTACAAATCCACAGAGAGAAAGTGAGAGAGGGAGAGAGAGAGACAGCTGCAGAATTTTAACTCAAAAAATGCTGGCCTGTCAAGAGAAAGTATATCCTAATACAATAACCACTCCTACCATATGAATAGCTTCTGCACTCTACTCCACCATCTTCTGTCACATGTGTTTGAACAGGCTTAGCACTTGGGACTGGGGCTGATGACGACATCTATTTCAAGTGAGTTACGTTATGGGCATTTCTAGAGCAAGATGCTGCCAGCTCTAACCTGTTGTTCTTTGAAGTAGCACACAGCAAAGCATTCTGTCTGTGTTATGTTCCTCTCACGTATATTAAGAAGCTACAAGAAAACTTATTCCACTTTAAGTCAAAATAAAGCTCTTAGTCATCTTTTATGAGCAAAAATATTTCCTATTCTGAAAATCAGGGCAGGAAGTTGTTCTCTAGCTATGTCACATCTTGCTATCAATCTACTGAACGCAATGCTGTAATCTTTCCTCTTCTCTTTCCACCCACTAGCAATTATCCATCACTGAGAGCTACAGAAAATAGTTTAAATTTTAACACTGCTAGTCCATTAAGGAAATGTTAATGAAACTAAGTCTTATGTTACATAATCCACTGCATTTTACAATTTCCCTTGGTACTTTGATTTTTATTAATATTGTTTATAGTGTCTCCTGAGATGACAGGTCAGCTGCCCAAAAGGAAACACCATAACATCACGAGTAACAGCTGACAATGCTCAAAATTTTTGGTCTTCAACCTGCATTATGTAACTTTTCTACCAGTAGGTAGCATTTAGAACATGTACTATAACAGTTACAGCCTCATACTCCCATAGAATTCAACAGTCAGAACTCGATCGATGTTTTGTAACATGCGGCTCATTTTTTAAACTTTTAGATATTTATGCTGGGTCATTTCAATATGACTTAGCCATTCTCACGTTTTTGTTTTAATTGATGTGGAAATTAAAACTTCTATCTAGAAAGGCTGCTATCTAATCTCATTGACACAGTTTAAGATATCACAAATTATGAAGTCCTTTAACCAGTATTTCTGTGCAGCAGTCCTGTCTGTTCTAGAAACACTACCAGAAAGTGAAAAATTCTCAGTACCATCGTCTCCAGTTTGTCACCTGACATTTAAATTCAAGAAATTCTAAAAGTACCTAAGGGAGAGAACAGTTTATAGGTTAGAGAACGGGACAAGGCTGTCTGAAACTGGGGTTATATTCTCAGCTCTGACACGGATTTGCTGTCTGACCATAAACGAGTTATAACCTCTCAGTAACTTAGTTTTCTACATCAGTAATTTGGGGAAATAAATACTTACCAATGTAAAAGTGATGTGGTGAGGCTTAATGAATGTTTGTAAAGCGACCAGAGATCCCGTAAGGCACCAGGTGAGAATTATTAATCTCTTCCATTTAATATAACTACTTGGCCATTAAAAACAGGATTATTCATAAATGGAAGAATTACGCTGTTGATAGTAGCTGCAACTCATCTTGGAACTCAAGATATAGATGATCCACTCATGACTGATACAACAATTATGTGCACATTTCATTCAACAGCACCATTCTAAAATTAGCCCGCCTGAAATAAGCTTGCAAAAAATATCTGGAATTCTCATTTCAGATTAGCAACATCTGTGAATTTAAAGAACCCAGCACATGTGTTTCTGAAACATTAGATCATGGTTGCCAAAAAGTTAAAATAATCAGGGTGGGGTGGAAGTAAAAATGAACACTTTTTGAGGACAGGAAGAGACCAACTGATTGTGTTATAGTGAATGAGAATGCCTTTAAATGAGAGATCTCCAAGTTAGTAGCATGAGGCAAAAGCAAGCTCTATTACGCAATGTCATTTTAATTAGCATAACTACTACAGACATCCGGCAAAACGTTCAGACAAAGCAGAAACAAAGACGGCAAATCAACAAATACTTGTTGCTCCAGAATCAAGATTAATGTCAATTTAGGAATATGAAGATGGAATACATTTCCTTGACTTTAAATAATTAGTTCTAGTCTTTGTACATTTTTGAAGTTGTTTTGAACTTGCTCTTACTCTAGTTTTTAAAATAACTGGTTTAAAATTTTCTCTTTACAGAGATGAAAATTGACAAAAAGTCAATACACATCAGTTATGTACAATACCTAAAGGCAGAAAGTGATGCAGGATTTCAACAATTTACTGGATTTTAAGATTACAATTCAACTGTCAACCAATTACTCATTTGGTTTGAAAAAGGCAGCTGTAATGAAAAAAACTTCAGGTGCCTGGATCACCAAGTGAGGAAATAAAATGTTCTTTGGAGTGTGTTTGCTCATGAACTAGAAAAAAAGGTTTTTTTGTTTTGTTTTGTTTTTTTTATGAAGGATGGGATGCCAATACGAACATGTAACTAAACCAATGGAGCAATATATACCATTTATGGTATGGTAGTTGAGGTAACATAAAAAGTTTAATAAGATATTTGGGGCAAGGGCCATTTCTAAATTTTTGTGCAGTTACGCATGTGTCAAGAGAGTCTACATAGATGTTGTGAGTCAGAGTTAAGGTTACTGGAATGAGTATGATGTACTTTCATATATATGTCAATATTGCTATTAAACTGAAAGTATAAACTGTAAGGGTAAAAAGTGAAAACACAAAAAACTTGATGGAACGAAGAAATTTCTACCTTTCTCCTGCCTCTCTGCCCAAAAAATTCTCTCACACTTTCCCTGCGCATCAAAATCCACAAAACACATCTTACGCTCTTTAAAAAAAAATAAAAAATTATACAGTCTCCCTCTTAGCCTCTAAGGATATGTCCCTCTTAGCCTTTAAGGATATGTCCACACTATAGCTGGGAGGTGTGATTCCCTGTGTAGACTTGAACTAGCTCGAAAATAGCAGTGTGGATGTTGTGGTATTGGCAGTGTCTTGGGCTAGCCGTGCAAGTCCAAACCTGCCTGAGCCCTTGGATCTGAGCTTGGTTGGCTAGCCCAAGCCACCGCCAATGCTGCGACGTCCATGCTGCAGTTTTTAGAATGCTAGCTCAAATCTGTCTATCTTCACCGGGAATCCCATCTCCAAGTTGCAGTGCAGACATACCCCAAAAGTCCACACACACGCAACTCAATTGCCCCTAATTAATATCTGCAGCTTCCCCTGGTTCTCTCTCTGCTACAGCAACAACTCACACATACGTGCTGCCTCCTCTCCCCCACTGTCTTGCACAGGTAAATCCTCCCTACGCCCACACACTCTCCCTCTCTAACCTTCCCAAGGCTCTCTCACCCACCTCCTTCTGTCCTCCACAGAATCTCCCTCATGTTTTGTCCCCTGCCAAGATTCTCTTCTTTCTCCAAGTTCTCTCCCTTTTCATTCTCCTTTAGCTTGGTTTTTAATTACACAAACACACACTATTTTTCCTCATTCAGTGCAGCATGGTCAGTGAATGAAACAGAGGGTTACAAGAGAAAAAATGGTGTGTTCTTTTGAATTTTAAAGGCATGAATCTGGAATCCAGGAAAGGCTGGATTCTATTCCTGGATCTGCTACAGACTTCCCGTTATCATAGTTCATATAGACAAGAGGGCAGAAATAAGGTTGCACAGGCAACCTTATATCTAGCATTTCCTAACTTCTGATGCAACCTTAATGTTTTTAAGGTAGTTTTTTCCTGTATGCAATAGGTTATGTTAGCAGATCGTTGACAGCCTTTTTAACGTATAGGGTTTGGGGTTTGTTTAAATGGTAATGCGATTATATATTTTGCATAAGGCCAATATTAATTAATCTACACTACAAAGGAAACCACGCCACAAAACTTGGTTAACTTTTACATAAAGAGGAAGTCCTCACTTCACTTGGAGTAAAAACCTGATTTTTGTGGAACTTGAAGATCCAATGGCCAGGCACTTTCTCCTGAAAATATTCCGACACACACCCCTGACACCGGTAATATAAAATTATTTTAATTCAGGTGTTCCTCGTGGCACCTTTGCTGGCATGCCTTCTAAGTACAAAGAAGAGGAGTACCTCTCCTACAAACCATAGATCTGTGGTAGTAGGATTCCTCTGCTGCATGCTTTTAGAAGGCATGTTCTGTCTCAAGGACCTTATATCCACAGAAATGGATTTTTCCCCCTGTCCTGTGCACCAACTAAGATGCATCCCACTGCAGAAAATTATGCTTCCAACACGAAGTTTTTCATGTCAATCTAATTCATGGAGGCTTGAATGTTTACATTTCCTTCTTTAAAAAGGGAATAGTCATGAACATTTTTTAAGGCAGCTGAAAAGAAAATACTACCCATGCTATTATAAAAGCCCTGATGTAATATTAATGAGGTATCTAATATTTTGGTTTTAACTATTTCTTTTAAAACTAATCTATGCAAAAGATTTTGTTGAAGGTTATACCTCACCTGAAAAACTGTTAAAGCCAAGTCATTTGTAAATGAGAGGTACTGAAGGGGGAAAAAGCTGGACATTCTAATAAAAGGAATGCAAGTTCATAAAAGCATATTCTACGTTTGTATTAATTGTTGACTGTGTAATTTATCTCCAAATCACATTTAGCAGTGAGTGGTGTAATTTTAGTTGTGAACATTTGTTTTTTGGGTGTACCAAAAGTTTAAAGCTATTTAAACGGAAAAAACATGGGGGTACTATTGATGACTACATAACAATGCTATCAGCTGATTGGCATAGCAGCCTCTAAAGCCTCTATGCCTTTCTACAGTTTTTCTATAGATATTCTGCAAAATATCAACTAACTCCCTTAATCTCCATCCCCAAGTCTCACCTGTGATATACACAACATCAATGCTATACTGATCAGCAAAGCTCTGTATTTATTCTGTGCTGCAGTTATGTATTGAATTGACTTGGGACTTGACTAACTTCTTTGGGGCAGGGACTTTGTTGTTTGAGACATTATGCTTTACATGGCACTATGTAGCGCATCCACTATTAAAAATTTAAAACTACAGAGTCTAGGTAAAATCAGCCTTATTGCAGTTATTTGTGACACTCCTATATTTGGAATATGGAATATAGTATGAAAACAGTGCCACTAATAGAGTGGTGATAATCAAGATTTTAAACTAAGGACCACAGTACTATAAATACAATAAGCCTCACTTTGGTAGTCCAGCATTTTTAGTTGATGTAACATACAGCCCAAAGCACATAAGGTATATGCATAAACTGTCTAATAAATGGAGTTGCCACTGCAAGAATATTGTAATGTAAACAGGATTTATCAGATACTTCCTGACTGACTAGCTTTTTAAAACTGGTTGCCTAGTTATCTTGGTTATATTTTGTATTGTTGTTCAATACATACTTTAAAACACCTGGCTATTGATACTTTGGTGGGCCAGGCTTTTTTTTCCTTTTTAACATGCTGGTTTGCAGTGTCTACGCTATATCTGCTGAAACTAAAAATAAGAAAGGTGTACTTTTCTATGTTCATATGGATACATACCTATAACAACCCTTGAAGATTAGCTACCAAACTGGAAATGAGTCTCGTAAATCCATTTGACTCTTTTTTGTTGGTTTTTTTAAGCTTTGCACACTAATGGCAAACTCAAGTTTTATCTGTTTTAAATGTCAGGGTCTCAAATGAATAAGCATTATACTCATGCGGGGTATTTCAAAAAGTGTTTAGAAAGGATGGGAGTTTAGAAAATATATATCAAAGCTATTTATCTTGCAAACATACCACTTTGAGTTGTTGCATATTTACATTAAATAAACTAAGCAGCCTGATCAGTCCATGAATGAGAGGCCTCCAAGGAAACACAGATATAAGAATGGTGATTCACTAGGTAGCTCTTATACTAAGTCAGTACTCTCCCAGTTCCTTACGGAGCACATTTGTGATCTTTTGGATAAGATATAAAATGAAGTTCTTAACCACTTGTGGTCATTTGAAATCCTATAACACTTGAAGAGCAGGGGTGTTAGTCCTATTCTAGTTTGGGCAAAATACATTTGGTCTACATCAAATTCCTCTGAAAGTTTTATTTAAATAGGGTAGTCTTCACTTTGTCCCAAAGCATAGTAAAGTTTTGCTGTTATCTACCCTGAACAAGGCTGTATTTCAGTGGAAGAGATCTGTATATCTAATTTGCAAAGCTCTTTGGATAAAAAGTTATGATTATATGTAGTATATACAAAATGTCAGTCTATTATTAACGATCTCAGTAAATATCTCAACACTGGGGAAGTCTGAAACAAAATTGATATATTGTTTTAAAAGGTGAAGTTAAATGAGAGGGAAGGCTTTCTGGAAAGGGAAAGTGAGGGGGTAAAAACAATAAAAGCATGTTGGGGCTGCCATCTTGAGGGCTTTAGAGGAAAACCTGGCTGCACTGTAACAGTTTGCAACCCAATATACTGCTTATAGATGACAACACTGAGTCTGAACTAGAGCTGGGAAAAATTTTCAGTGAAAAGTTTATTTACTGATAAATGCAGTTTTGGGTGACTTGAAACTAATTTGTGTTGAGTTTGTCAAAAATAGTTTTAACTGAAACAAAAATTTGAAATGTTCTGTTCGGTAATATTGAAACGAAATGGTTTGTTTCAACATTACCATAACATTTTTGGGCTGGTGTCATGAAAGTGCCAGAGGTGGTGGTCTCAGCAGGTTCAATTACCCCTCTGCCTGCTGTGGAGAAGGGATCTGAACATGGATCTCCCACATTGCAAGAGAGGTGCCCTGAACATCAGGAAATGGGATATCCTGATGTGGGTTTCAATCTATTTTGCTGAAGCTGTTCCATGAAATATAAAGAAAAAAAAACAGTCGTTGGAGCAGGGTCTTGAACTTGCATCTTCCACATCCTACGTAAATGCCCTAACCACTGGACTAGAGTTATTCTTGCTCTCTGGCCCAATGACTATTCATTGTCATTCATAGTGGCTATTCAGTCATTGTCTGGCTATACCGAAAAAAGGACGGGAGATATTTGACATAGGTTTAATCAGGCCGCAACTTTATCATCAGATGTCTGGGACTACCCGGCAGATAAAAGTGTACAGTGCAGGTAACCCCATGTTTATTCTGTAATTACCCAGGGGGCTTTTACCAACTCCCCCTCTTTTTCCATCCGGGTCCCTCCAGCAAATCCATTGCCGGGACCATACCATCTACCTCTTGTCATAGGAGGATTAAGGTGGGCTACAAGAATGGGAGTCTCCAACTGACCCCTGTTCGTTCCTTTAACAAAACACCTCTTTTAAGTTCTTTTCCAAGCCATTTATCTGGTCACTGTATACCTTTCCTATGGAGTACCTGCACTGGTCATCCACCCTACACTTAATGAGTTGGGAGATACAGCCTACCGCCCTTTATGCCATGCATGAACAGAGCCCTTCCTGAACCCACGTGGGAGGGGGGGGGAAGGGAAAAATCCCTTCCCAACTCCCCTAAAAAAGGGGCGGCTAGCATAATAACCACAGCAGGTCTTGACCAAACCCGGAATTTAACCACCTAAAATGGAGTGAGGATGGGTCCTGCCTCAGCCTGCTCCATGTAAAAGGGAGGCTTCAGGCACAGAGCTACCACTTGTAAACCTTGCATTCCCAGGGGATGAGTAAGTGACTACGCTGACCCTTTTGTAGTAGTTTTCATCCCCCCCCATCCTTAAAACACTGTTCCTTTCATTTGGTCAGCCAGCCAAAAACACCCCCCACTCCCCGCTTAAAAGTGCAGTGTGGTCATTCATGAGGACACTGAATAGCTATTGGGCCAGAGTGTGACAATGACTCTACAGTGTGGTGGGTAAGGCACTCACCTAGGATGTGGGAGACAAGTTCAAATCCCTGCTCCAATGACTATACATATGTGTGTACATGTATATATAAAATACTGCACATACAGGATTTCTCTGCAATTTTGCTTCATATGTGAGATAGTCTTTAGTACCAAGTCTTTTTTTTTTTTTTTTAAAACTAAGGACATCATGAAAAATCTTATTGGATGGTCTCCATCTGCACCCTATTTGAACTGGAGCAAAAAGTATTTTTTTTTTTAAATGTGATCATTATTCCAGCATCTTAGTCAATAGACCCGCTCACATGGTCTGTGATACCTGGTATGATGATTGCAGGGACATCCAGAATGTTGCCAAATGAAGCAGTTTTACGATGGCCCCGTTTAGGCTTGGAATAGGCTGAAAAAATACACATACACAATACACATGCAAACAGCTACAATGGTAACACAGCAAATTATTAAATACATAACACTGCAATTCTCATATATTGTTAAACTAAAGTACATGCAAAACATGTCACACAGAATAAACTGCACAGCTTTCTATTCATGCTTAAAATAGTAAAGAAATTGTTAAAAGCAAAACAGAACTAGCTGTCAATACAACAATTAGCTGTCGTTAGCAACACAAAACTCAACAGACAAAGCAGCATGGCAATGAGGAAGGGAAAAGTGCAACCATCGGAATGGAAGACAAATATTGACTTATTCCAGATCACCTGCATATTACTAATAAATGTATTTCCTTAATTGTTTTAAGTTATATAATACTTCCTCCATAGTTTTATTCTAGTCTCAGGCTAACATTGTTTATAAATAAGTTTACATTTTCATGTTGGATGCTTTCATTTTCTTTAATTGACATCTCCTGTAAAGTGAAATCCAATCAATGTCCAAGATAAGCTCACTTTAATATTACAAAATTTGAAGAATTGCTTCAAGCGCTGGTGAGGTGCCCTCTGATTAAATGCTTGCTGTTTTGTAAATACTTCAGAATTAAGCATCCCATTCATGGAACTATTGAAAACAACCCCCCCCCCCCATATTTGTTAAAGTGGAATTTGTATCTATTCTAAATCACATCAAACACCATAAAACGAACTTACAAAAGTTCATTTTGCCACATGTGGTAAGAGGAAGCGGTGGTAAGATAAAGGTCTGTAGTTTAAAGATTACGTTTCATTTGAAATAGATTTGTGAATGCAGTTCCCAAAGGAAAACTGCTCTGGCATGTTTACCTGAAAGAACTCTCAGTGACTGACATAAATGTGCACTGCCTGAATTGTTTCTATGGCCAGTCTAATAATAGCTGGAACAAGAGGATTAGGTAATTCTTAAAATACTTTGATTTATTTATTCTTGACAATAGCCTTATCCTCACATAGCAACAAAATTTCTTTAGATCACAGTATGTTGTTCTCTGTAACAGTTAATGAGACTAAGAAACCACCATTGCTTTTGCTGTTTCCAACTTAAGTCACAAAAACCTGCTTAGATTAACGTAGCCTGATTTCTACTAGTTTGCCACTGCCTGAAATGAACTCTGTTCCTTTATACTTGTCCCATTCAAATCAACTCTCTTTAGTTAGAAGAAGGAATAAAAAAAACAGCTATAGCAAAATCTCAGAACAACGTACTTGGATATAATTACTGGCAATACTTAAAAGAATCTAGTTAAGGAAGGTAGATTGGGCTGATTCCAAACTCTCACTGGGTGGTCAAATGAGTTACATTTGTTCTGTACCAATGAGAGATTTGAATGAGGCCCAGAATATTAAAATAAATCAGAACACCACAGACTATTGTTGGGTAAGGACACAATTGCCTTGTGGTGGCTAGACCCTTGATGAATACATATCTGAACAATATAGGGGCGATGGCTATCAAGAAGTAATTGCAGTCAACTAGTTATAAAAAAGAGTAATAAAACAAAAACAAAACAGTAATCCATTCTGGATTGATACTATAATGTTCTAATGAGATTGTAAACTCATTAGGACAGGGACTATGTCATCCCACAATAGGCCTTTAGATATTACCAAAGTAAAAAAACTCTTATTCAACTCAGAGAGAGAGAGGAAAAAAAAAAAAAAAAAAAAAGAGTTTAATAGTCATGGTGCACAAGAGAGTCAGAACACGTAGTATATTCCAATATGTGAAAAAGTGATTACTACAAATGTTCAGAGTGATGGAAAAATATTGGCTCAACTAGATAAGGTCTGACTAACAGTGGTAGTTATTGTGTCTGGATTCTGTAAATCTAAGGATGTAGATCAATAAAAAGGACCATTTAAAATTATGAAACAAGTTAATAAACAGTGAAAATGGGGACTAGAAAGCAGTTTTTGCCTGCCACATATAATGTTTTGTTAATTTGCTTATTGGGAAAACAAATACGCACTCACTCTGCTTTCACCATAAAATTATGCATTTAATATGGCTAGTATCCTAAACTTCATCTTACATCAACGATCCACCATGTAAATAAATGAGCAGCTTTTGCAACCTGGCAAAATACGTGTAGCTAAAATTCTTTACAAAGACATCCAAGTTCCGCTTCTCTGGGGAGAAATCGGAGGGTTATATTTATATCTGATCTTTCCAACAACATAACTAAATTACCACTTTGCACCTATTTTCTGTCAAAACTTGTTTTTCAATATATTGGTGGAAATAATACTGCTTTTAAACCCACCTCCTGCATTTTAAAATAGTTTGACTGTAGTTTTGAATGGAATGGAATTCAAATTAAAAAAAAATGACAATGGATGGAGAATAACACTCAGAAGCAAAGAGAAACTTGTATTAACGAAACAAGGCTCATACCAAAGAATCACCAATTTATGTAATACAAGGAAAATCTAATCTAGCCATTTTAAAGGCAATCAAAAGTAATCTTTTCTGTAATCTCAAACTACACACATTTAAAAAAAAATTCCTCTCAGATCTGAGTGCACAAAGGTGAAAGGAGCTGGTCTCTTCATATCTAGACTTGGCAGGATGATTTAAATGGATAGAGGTCGGTAAATGTCGATTACAGCTGATACTGATGGATATTTTCCTCAGTTTTAGTGTAACCGTTGGACCAAGTACAGCTTCTCCTACACACTTTGTGCCTGCAGGAATTGACCTCAGTGGCACAACAGCAGCACAGAGAGGTCGCTGCAGCCCTGCTGTCATGGGAGGGAGCGAGTGGGGTCGTGACAGTAGAACTGCAGAGGGCTCCCCTGTAAGGATGTGGTGCCAGTGACACTGGATCCTTGCAGACTGTGGTCCATGTGGGGTAGAGTGGAGACCCCCATGGCCAGGACTGCAAGGAGGAGGAAGAGGACAAGCCCCCGGACAGGGAGGAAGCTACCTTGCTGCTGAATGTCTGTCCTTAGGTAGGAACCATTTGGCAGCGGGGTAACCTCCCTCAGGGAACCCTCCTTCCCACAGTCCTGATGAGGCGCTCTCTGCTTTGCCTGGCTAGGACCACAACTTTCCTTGCACCTTGGGCCTGCAGGGATTGGGTGTCACCGGCCCTTCAGCAGTGTAGGAAGCCCTTTGCAGCCCTTCTGTCACAACCACGTTCTTTCACCAGCTGGGAGTGCAAGGGGTCTCTGCTCAGGCTCACCAGGACTGTAGTCTTCCCCGCACCTTATGCCTGCAGAAGCTGGGTGTCACTGGCTCCACAGCCGTGCTGGGAGTCCTCTGCAGCTCGGCCCTCATGACCTTGCTCACCCACCCACCAGCCAGGAGCACAGGGGCCATTGCTGAGCAAGAGCTATTCAGCACCAGTGTGGCCTCCCCGACAGCTTTGTCTTCTTCCTGAGAGCCCTGTCCCAGTGGAACAGAGACCCCTGGCCAGGACCACAGCCTCATCTGCACCATGTACTACAGTCTTGGGCCCCTTGGCCATGCAGGGAGCCCCCTGCAATTCTCTTTTCAGCACTGCCCTAACTCCAACCTGCCCTTAAATTCCTGCAACTATAAAACTAAATATAGTTAAAAATAGAATAAAAAATAATTTAAAAAAAAATTTACAATTGTCAAAATTACACACACACACAAATTCTGCCAACCCTATTCATATAAATTCTTAAAAAATAATGGACAAGTTAATAATAAAGAATCCATGCCCAGTTAAGAGTTATCTCGCAGGGCTCATCTTATTAAAAGTAGCTCCTTTCACCTTTCTCTGCCCCCTAACTTTATTATTTATTTTTACCTATGGTAGCGGTAATTCTTGCTTCTATTTCAGACATGTCAGCACTCATCCTCTTGCCTTCTCCTGAAACAAGAGTTGACTGTCGTCCACGAACATCTGATAAACTTTCCACGCTGCTCCCGCGAGATGGAGGTAAACTCAAACGGCCAGGGTCACCCTGTTAAAACAGTGTTACATTTTCAATAGGGCTGGCAAGTGATTAAAAAAATCATGTTAATCGTGCTGTTAAACAATAGAATACATTTAATTTAAATATTTTAGATGTTTTCTACATTTTCAATTATAAAACATAATAAAAAGTGTACAGTGCTCACTTTATATTATTTTTATTACAAATATTTGCACTGTAAAAATGATAAAAGAAATAGTATTTTTCAATTCACCTAGTACTGTAGTGCAATCTCTATCATGAAAGTTGAAATTACAAATGTAGAATTAGGTACAAAAAATAACTGCATTAAAAAATAAAACCATGTAAAACTTTAGAGCCTACAAGTCCACTCAGTCCTACTACTACTTCAGTCAATCGCTCAGACAAACAAGTTTCTTTACATAAAATGACAAAATTAGAAAGGTCAAGGCACAAAACGAGATCAAACTAGCTAGAAACATACAGGGTAACAAGAAAACATTCTACAAATACATTAGAAACAAGAGGAAAACCAAGGACAAGGTAGGCCCGTTAATCAATGAGGGGGGGAAAATAACAGGAAATGTGGAAATGGCAGAGGTGCTTAATGACTTCTTTGTTTCAGTTTTCACCAAGAAGGTTGGTGGTGATTGGATGTCTAACATAGTGAATGTCAGTGAAAATGAGGTAAGATCAGAGGCTAAAATAGGAAAAGAGCAAATTAAAAATTACTTAAACAAGTTTAGATGTCTTCAAGTCACCAGGACCTGATGAAATGCCTCCTAGAATACTCAAAGAGTTGACTGGGGAGATATCTGAGCCATTAGCAATTATCTTTGAAAAGTCATGGAAGATGGGAGAGATTCCAGAAGACTGGAAAAGAGCAAATATAGTGCCAATCTATAAAAAGGGAAATAAGGATAACCCAGGGAATTACAAACCAGTCAGCTTAACTTCTGTACCCAGAAAGATAATGGAGCAAATAATTAAGCAATTTGCAAACATCTAGAAGATAATAAGGTGATAAGTAACAGTCAGCATGGATTTGTCAAAAACAAATCATGTCAAATCAACCTGATAGCTTTCTTTGACAGGGTAACAAGCCTTGTGGATAGAAGGGAAGCGGTAGACGTGGTAGATCTTGACTTTAGTAAAGCTTTTGATACGGTCTCGCATGATTGTCTCAAACAAACTAGGGAAATGTAACCTAGATGGAGCTACAATAAGGTGGGTGCAAAACTGTTTGGAAAACTGTTCCCAGAGAGTATTTATCAGTGGTTCAGAGTCATGCTGGAACGGTATAACAAGGGGGGTCCTGCAGGGATCAGTTCTGGGTCCGGTTCTGTTCAATATTTAGATAATGGCATAGAGCAGACTTAAAGTTTGCAGACGATAGCAAGCTGGGAGGAGTTGCAAGTGCTTTGGAGAATAGGATTATATTTCAAAATGATCTGGATAAACTGTAGAAATAGTCTGAAGTAAATAGGATGAAATTCAATAAGGATAAATGCAAAGTACTCCATTTAGGAAGGAACAATCATTTCCCATTTTGTATGTGTGCAACTAACTGCCTAGGAAGGAGTACTGTGGAAAGAGATCTGGGGGTCATAGTGGATCATAAGCTAAATGAGTCAACAGTGTAACG